ACGAGTGGCCCTGGGGACAGCAGGGACACGCAGCTGTGGTGGCACTGGGGACAGCAGACAATGGCAGCGCTGGTGGCACTGGGGACAGCGCTGAGTGACAATGACAGCCCTGCTGGCCCTGGGGACAGCAGTGATCCCAGGGTGGCATCAGTGACTCTGGTGGCCCTGGGGACAGGTGGGGACAGGTGGGGACATCAATGGCTCTGACAGCCCCGGTGACATCAGGGACCCCGGTGACAGGTGGAACGCAGGTGGCCTTGATGACACCACTGCTCCTATTGTCCCCTACTGTCCCCAGGTGTCCCCTCGGTGTCCCCAGGTGTCCCCTCATGTCCCCTGCTGTCCCCAGGTGTCCCCTCGGTGTCCCCTTGTGTCCCCTCGTGTCCCCTCATGTCCCCTGCTGTCCCCTCGGTGTCCCTGCCATCCCCTGCTGTCCCCAGGTGTCCCCTCGGTGTCCCCTGCTGTCCCCGCCGTCCCCAGGTGTCCCCAGGTGTCCCTGCCATCCCCAGGTGTCTCCTCATGTCCCTGCTGTCCCCAAGTGTCCCCTTGTGTCCCCTGCTGTCCCCAGGTGTCCCCTCGTGTCCCTGTCATCCCCAGGTGTCCCCAGGTGTCCCCTCATGTCCCTGCCATCCCCAGGTGTCCCCAGGTGTCCCCAGGTGTCCCCTGCCATCCCCAGGTGTCCCTGCCATCCCCAGGTGTCCCCAGGTGTCCCTGCCATCCCCAAGTGTCCCCTCGTGTCCTTGCTGTCCCCAGGTGTCCCCTCATGTCCCTGCTGTCCCCAGGTGTCCCCTCGTGTCCCCAGGTGTCCCCTCATGTCCCTGCCATCCCCAGGTGTCCCCAGGTGTCCCTGCTGTCCCCAGGTGTCCCCTCAGTGTCCCTGCCATCCCCAGGTGTCCCCAGGTGTCCCCTCACCAGATCGTGGGGTAAATCTTCTTCCTGGCCAGGTCACCCTGCGGGGGGAGGGGTCGCTCAGGGGTGGGGGAGGGGCGAGCCCAGCGCTGGGCGGGCCCCGGCCCCTCCCCCACCCCCGGGATGTGCTGAGTCAGCGCCGCCGCCCCTCCCCCACCCGCGTTCAATGGGAGGCGTTGGGTAACGGGGTGGGGGAGGGGCGGAGGAGGAAGTTGGGGTGCGGGTGGGGGAGGGGCGGCCCCGCCCTGGCCCCGAGGGGTGACCGGGAGGGGGTGGGGGAGGGGTGGGGCACCCCAACTTCTTCCCCTCCCCCACCCCACCCCACCCCACCCTCCCCCGGAGGCACCGGGTGGCCGCCCCTCCCCCATCCCCCAAATAACCCCAAATCCGCCCCAAATAACCCCAAATCCCCCCCAAATCCCCCCAGTTCCTCCGATCCCCTTCAGTTTGTCCCAGGGTCCCCCAAAATCCCCCCAACCCTTTTTACTTCCCCCTCAACCCCCCAATCTCCTCAATTCCCCCCCAAAACCCGAATTTCTGCCCCTTAGCCCCTCAATCCCCCCCCAAACCCCGAATTTCTGCCCCTACCCCCCTCAATTCCCCCCTAACCCCCTCAATTCCCCCCCCCAAACCCAAAATTTCTGCCCCAACCCCCTCAGTTCCCGCCTTAAACCCCAAATTTCTGCCCCTTAGCCCCTCAATTTTCCCCCCAATTCCCTTTATCCACCCCAACCCCCAAATTTCTGACCCTTAGCCCCTCAATTACCCCCCTAAACCCCGAATTCCTGCCCCTTAGCCCCTCAATTCCTCCCCTAACCCCCTCAATTCCCCCCCTAAACCCCAAATTTTTGGCCCCTTAGCCCCTCAATTCCCCCCCAACCCCCTCAATTACCCCCCTAAACCCCGAATTTCTGCCCCTAACCCGCTCAATCCCCCCCCCAAACCCAAATTTCTACCCCTAACCCCCTCAATTCCCCCCTAAACCCCGAATTTCTGCCCCTAACCCCCTCAATCCCCCCCTAAGCCCCAAATTTCTGCCCCTACCCCCCTCAATCCCTCCCCTAACCCCCTCAATCCCCCCCTAAGCCCCAAATTTCTGCCCCCAACCCCCTCAATTTCCCCCCTAAACCCCGGATTTTTGGCCCCCAACCCCCTCAATTCCCCCCCCAATTCCCTTTATCCACCCCCAAACCCCAAATTTCTTCCCCTTAGCCCCTCAATTCCCCCCCAACCCCCTCAATTACCCCCCTAACCCCCAAATTTCTCCCCCTAACCCCCTCAATTCCCCCCAACCCCCAAATTTCTGCCCCTTAGCCCCTCAATCCCCCCCTAAACCCTAAATTCCTACCCCTAACCCCCTCAATCCCCCCCCCAAACCCCAAATTTCTGCCCCTAACCCCCTCAATTACCCCCCTAAACCCCAAATTCCTGCCCCTAACCCCCCCATTTCCCCTCCCAAACCCCGAATTCCTGCCCCTACCCCCCCCAAACCCCTCCCTGCCCCCGTCCCCACTCACGGAGGCGCCGAGGATGACGAGGACGTGCGGGTGGCCCTGGAGGAAGGCTCCGTCCCGGCTCAGCTCCTGCCGGAGCATCCCGCACACCTGCGAGCGGCTCAGCTCCCCCCCGCCCGAGCCCGGCATCGCTCCTGGGGGCGGAACGGCCACTTGGGGGGCAGGTTCGGCCACTTGGGGGGCAGGTTCGGCCACTCGGGGGGCAGGTTCGGCCACCCCGGGCAGGATTTGGGGAGCAGAGGAACAGGTTTGGGCAGCCCCGAACAGGATTTGAGGGGTTGTGGGGCAGGAAAGGGCACCTGGAGGGACGGGTGGGCACTTGGGGGGCAGAGGTGGCACCTGGGGGGTGGGATGGGGCACTGGGGGATGGGATTTGGGGATTTAGGGGCGGGTTTGGGCACCCGGGGATGGGATTTGGGGGTTTTGGGGCGGGTTTGGGAGGTTTTGGGGCGGGTTTGGGCACCCGGGGATGGGATTTGGGGGTTTTGGAGGTTTAGGGGCGGGTTCGGGCACTGGGGATGGGATTTGGGGGTTTAGGGGCGGGTTTGGGCACCTGGGGATGGGATTTTGGAGATTTTGGGGTGTGTTTGGGAGGTTTAGGGGCGGGTTTGGGCACTCGGCGATGGGATTTGGAGGTTTAGGGGCGGGTTTGGGAACTGGGGGATGGGATTTGGGGGTTTAGGGGCGGGTTTAGGAGGTTTAGGGTCAAGTTTGGGCACCTGGAGGGCAGGGCTGGGGTGGTTTGGGCACTCGGCGATGGGATTTGGAGGTTTAGGGGCGGGTTTGGGCACCTGGAGGATGGGATTTGGAGGTTTTGGGGTGGGTTTTGGAGGTTTAGGGGCGGGTTTGGGCACCTGGGGATGGGATTTGGGGGTTTAGGGGCGGGTTTGGGAATCTGGGGATGGGATTTGGAGGTTTTGGGGCGGATTTTGGAGATTTAGGGGCGGGTTTGGGCACCTGGGGGTGGGAATTGGGGGTTTTTGGGGGGATTTGGGCACCTGCGGATGGGATTTGGGGGATTTGGGGTGGATTTGGGCACGGGGCAATAGGATTTGGAGATTTTGGGGTTGATTTGGGCACAGGGGGATGAGATTTGGAGGTTTAGGGGCGGGTTTGGGCACACGGAGATGGGATTTGGAGGTTTAGGGGCGGGTTTTGGAGGTTTAGGGGTGGATTTGGGCACTGGGGGGCAGGGCTAGGGTGGTTTGGGGCGGGGTCGGGCACCTGGGGGATGGGATTTGGGGGTTTAGGGGCGGGTTTGGGCACCGGGGGATGGGATTTGGAGGTTTAGGGGCGGGTTTTGGAGGTTTAGGGGCAGGTTTGGGAATCTGGGGATGGGATTTGGAGGTTTTGGGGCGGGTTTGGGCACCTGGGGGGGCAGGGCTGGGGTGGTTTGGGCACCCGGGGATGGGATTTGTGGGTTTTGGGGTGGATTTGGGAACTGGGGGATGAGATTTGGAGATTTTGGGGCGGGTTTGGGAGGTTTAGGGGCGGGTTTGGGCACCCGGGGATGGGATTTGGACATTTTGAGGTGGATTTGGGCACTGGGGGATGGGATTTGGGGGTTTTGGGGTGGATTTGGGAACTGGGGGATGAGATTTGGGGGTTTTGGGGCGGGTTTGGGAATCTGGGGATGGGCTTTGGAGGTTTAGGGGCGGATTTTGGAGGTTTAGGGGCGGATTTGGGCACTGGGGGGCAGGGCTGGGGTGGTTTGGGGCAGGGTCGGGCACCCGGGGTGGGGTTTTGGGGTTGGGTGGGGCAGGACACGCCCTCCCCCCATTGTCCCCCCCAAATCCGCCCCAGTTCCCCCCAATTTCCCCCCAGGACCCCCAAATCCCCCGACCCCCCCCACCCCCGCTGACCCCTCGAACCCCAAATCTCCCCCCTGGACCCCCCAAATCCCCCCCATTTCCACCTTCAGCCCCCCCAAACCCCCCTCCCCATCCCCCCCATAACCCCCCAGGCCCTCACGGACCCCCCAGACCCCCAAATTTCCCCAATTTCCGCCTTCTCCCCCCATCAATTTCCTCTCAATCCCCCCACGGACCCCTCGACACCCCCAGACTCCCAATTTCCACCCTCACTGCCTCAACCCTCCCCCAAACCTCCCTCAGACCCCGAATTCCCCTCACAGACCCCAAATTTCCCCCATTTCCGCCATAGAGCCCCTCACGTTCCCCCTCAGTTTCCCCCTGACGCTCCCCTCCAGGCCTCCACGGACCCCCCGGACTATCCCAGAGCGCAGATCCCCTCCCGTCCTGCCGAATTTCCCCACATTTCCCCATTATTTCCCCACATTTCCCCATTATTTCCCCATTATTTCCCCATTTCCCCCCGCACCTTCCCGCTCCGGCCGCGCTCGCGCCGCCTCCCTCACGCTCGCGCGGGTCCCCATCCCTTCACACAGGCCACGCCCCCGCCCCTTATCCACCAATCACCGCCGAGCCTCTTCCCGCTTCAACCAATCACCGCCGAGCGAGGGCGGGGCTACACGCGGAGGCGTAACCAATCGGCGCTCTCCTCCCTCGGCGTTGCTATGGCGCCGCCACGACATTGAGCGAGGCGGAAGCGCGGCGGAGCGCGGTGACGTCACGCGCTGGCGGCGGAAGCAGGAAGTGGCGGCGCCGCCGCCGGAGCCGCCGGGATCCCAAAAATCCCCGAATTCGGCCCAAAAATCCCCGACCCGCGGCCGGTCCCGCCCCGGGAGCCGCCGATGAGCGGCGGGCGCTGGCGGCGGCCCGCAGAGATGGTGCAGCCCGGGCCCGAGGCGGAGCCGGCGCTGGCGGAGGCGCTGCAGCGGCTGAGGGCGGAGAACCGCGAGCTGAGGGGTGAGAGCCGGGCCGGGCCCGGGGGACAATGAGGGGCACTGAGGGGGTCCCCAGAGGTGTCCCCGTGTCCCCATTGGGGTGTCCCCAATGCCCCACGATGGTATCAGCACCGCCAGTGTCACCCCAACGTCCCAATGTCCCCAGTGTCCCCCCCAATGTCCCCAGTGTCCCCCCAATGTCCCAATGTCCCCTCAGCGCCTCCAATGTCCCCCCATGTCCCCAATCCCTAATGTCCCCCCGACATCCCAATGTCCCCACTGTCCCCAGTCCCCCCCAGTGTCCCCAGTTCCCTGTAATGTCCCCAATGTCCCCAGTCCCCCCAATGTCCCCAATGTCCCCCAATGCCCTCAGCACCTCCAGTGTCCCCCCAACGTCCTCCCAATGTCCCAATGTCCCCTCAGCGCCTCCAATGTCCCCCCATGTCCCCAATGTCCCCCCAACATCCCAATGCCCTCAGCACCTTCAATGTCCCCTCCCGTGTCCCCAATGTCCCCCAGTGTCCCCAGTCCCCAATGTCCCCAATGTCCCCAGTCCCCCCCAGTGTCCCCGATGCCCTCAGCACCTCCAATGTCCCCCCCAATGTCCCCAGTTCCCCCCAATGTCCCCAGTTCCCCTCAATGTCCCCAGTCCCCAATGTCCCCAATGTTCCCCAACATCCCAATGTCCCCAGTCCCCCCAATGTCCCAATGTCCCCTCAGCACCTCCAGTGTCCCCCCATGTCCCCAATGTCCCCCCAATGTCCCCAATGCCCCACGATGCCCTCAGCACCTCCAATGTCCCCTCCCGTGTCCCCAGTCCCCAGTCCCCAGTGTCCCCAGTTCTCGGTGTCCCCCCAACATCTCAGTGTCCCCAATGTCCCCAGTCCTCCCGATGCCCTCAGCATCTCCAATGTCCCCCCCAATGTCCCCAGTGTCCCCAGTGTCCCCCCAACATCCCAATGTCCCCCCAGTGTCCCCAGTTCCCCTTAATGTCCCCAATGTCCCCAATGCCCCACGATGCCCTCAGCACCTCCAGTGTCGCCCCAATGTCCCCAATGTCCCCCCAATGTCCCCCCAATGTCCCCAGTTCCCCTCAAAGTCCCCAGTTCCCAGTGTCTCCCCAACATCCCAATGTCCCCAGGTGCCCTGTGTCCCTGTGTCACTGTCCCTGTGTCCCTGTCCCTGTCCCCAGGTGCCCTGTGTCACTGTGTCACTGTCCCTGTGTCCCTGTCCCTGTCCCCAGGTGCCCTGTGTCACTGTGTCACTGTCCCTGTGTCCCTGTCCCTGTCCCCAGGTGCCCTGTGTCACTGTGTCACTGTCCCTGTGTCCCTGTCCCTGTCCCCAGGTGCCCTGTGTCACTGTGTCACTGTCCCTGTGTCCCTGTCCCTGTCCCCAGGTGCCCTGTGTCACTGTGTCACTGTGTCCCCAGGTGCCCTGTGTCACTAGGTGCCCTGTGTCACTGCTGTCACTGTGTCACTGTCCCTCTGTCCCCAGGTGCCCTGTGTCACTGTCCCTGTGTCCCTGTGTCCCTGTGTCCCCAGGTGCCCTGTGTCACTGCACGCAGTCGCTGCTGTCCCTGCTGTCACTGTCCCTGTCCCTATGTCACTAGGTGCCCTGTGTCACTGCTGTCCCTGCTGTCCCCAGGTGCCCTGTGTCACTGCACGCAGTCCCTGTGTCACTGTGTCACTGTCACTGTGTCACTGTCCCCGTGTCCCCAGGTGCCCTGTGTCACTGCTGTCCCTGTGTCACTGCTGTCCCTGTGTCCCTGTCCCTGTCCCCAGGTGCCCTGTGTCACTGCACGCAGTCGCTGTGTCACTGTGTCCCTGTCCCCAGGTGCCCTGTGTCACTGCACGCAGTCCCTGTGTCACTGTCCCTGTCCCTGTCCCCAGGTGCCCTGTGTCACTGCACGCAGTCCCTGTGTCCCTGTGTCACTGTCCCTGTGTCCCTGTCCCCAGGTGCCCTGTGTCACTGCACGCAGTCCCTGTGTCCCTGTGTCACTGTCCCTATGTCACTAGGTGCCCTGTGTCACTGCACGCAGTCCCTGTGTCCCTGTGTCACTCACTGTGTCCCTATGTCACTAGGTGCCCTGTGTCACTGCACGCAGTCGCTGCTGTCCCTGTGTCACTGTCCCCATGTCCCTGTCCCCAGGTGCCCTGTGTCACTGCACGCAGTCCCTGCGGCAGCGCCTGGAGGAGCTGCGGAAGCTGCAGCAGCAGCGTCGGGGCGAGCGGGAGCTGCTCTGGGGACGTTGGGGACAGGCCCGGGAGCTGGTGCTGCACCTGCGGGGACAGCGCGGGGACAGCCCCGGGGACAGCCCTGGGGACACCCCGGACACCCCCGGGGACAGCAGGGACACCCCTGGGGACATCCAGGACACTCCTGGGGACATCAGGGACACCAAGGACACCGCTGGGGACACCAAGGACACCCCCGGGGACACCAAGGACACCCCTGGTGACATCAGGGACACCCCCGGGGACATCAGGGACATCCTCACGGACACCAAAGACACCCCTGGGGACACCAAGGACACCGCTGGGGACATCAGGGACACGCTCAGGGACACTGGGGACATCTGCAGGACCAGCCCTGATACCAGCACTGAGGTATGTGTGTCCCCTCCCCGTGTCACCTCCCCGTGTCACCTCCCCGTGTCACCTCCCTGTGTCCCCTCCCCGTGTCACCTCTCCGTATCACCTCCCCGTGTCACCTCCCCGTGTCCCCTCCCCGTGTCCCTTCCCCGTGTCACCTCCCCGTGTCCCTGCACCCACCGTGTCCCCTTTGTGTCCCCCAGTGTCCCCTCTCTGGCCCCCCAGGCCCCCTAGAGTGCCCCTGATGTCCCCCAGTGTCTCCCTGGGGTGTCCCCAATGTCCCCCTGGGGAGTCCCCAATGTCCCCCTGATGTCCCCTTGATGTCCCCCCAATGTCCCCTATGTCTCCCTGGGGTGTCCCCAATGTCCCCCTGGGGAGTCCCCAATGTCCCCCTGATGTCCCCTTGATGTCCCCCCAATGTCCCCTATGTCTCCCTGGGGTGTCCCCAATGTCCCCCTGGGGAGTCCCCAATGTCCCCCTGATGTCCCCTTGATGTCCCCCCAATGTCCCCTATGTCCCCCTGGGGTGCCACCACCCCTGGGGAGTCCCCAATGTCTCCCTGGTGTCCCCCTGATGTCCCCAGTGTCCCCCCGATGTCCCCAATGTCCCCCTGGGGAGTCCCCAATGTCCCCCTGACACCCCCAGTGTCCCTCTGGGGAGCCCCCAGTGTCCCCTTGATGTCCCCAGTGTCCCCCTGATGTCCCCAATGTCCCCCGGGGGAGCCCCCAGTGTCCCCCTGATGTCCCCAATGTCCCCTTGATGTCCCCCTGATGTCCCCAATGTCCCCCTGATATCCCCTTGATGCCCCCAGTGTCCCCCTGATGTCCCCAATGTCCCCCTGGTGTCCCCCTGATGTCCCCGATGTCCCCCCGATGTCCCCCTGATGTCCCCAATGTCCCCCTGGTGTCCCCCTGATGTCCCCAATGTCCCCCTGATGTCCCCCTGATGTCCCCAATGTCCCCCTGATGTCCCCAATGTCCCCCTGATGTCCCCGATGTCCCCACAGCCCCCCGAGGCGCCGCCCCGCTCGGTGTCCCCTGTCCCCTTCAAGGACGTCCCCGCTGTCCTGGAGCCCCCCCAGGCCCCCCCCGGGGCCCCCCCGGAGCCCAGGTGAGCCCCTGTCCCCTGTCCCCTGTCCCCTGCCCCCTGTCCCCTCCCCTTGGGGACACCCCGGTGTCCCCAACCCCCCCTCACCCCTCCCGTGTCCCCCCAGCTCCGAGGAGCAGCTGAGGCAGCGCCTGGCGGAGGCTGAGGCTGAGTGAGTGGGGACACTGGGGACACTGGGGACAGTCTGGGGACAGTCTGGGGACACTGGGGACACTGGGGGTACTTGGGGACACTGGGGACACTTGGGGACACTTGGGGACACTGGGGACACTGGGGACACTGGGGACACTGGGGACACTTGGGGACACCTGGGGACAGTCTGGGGGCACGTGGGGACAGTCTGGGGACACTGGGGACAGTCTGGGGACAGTCTGGGGACACTGGGGACACTGGGGACACTGGGGACACCTGGGGACACTGGGGACACTGGGGACACTGGGGACAGTCTGGGGGCACCTGGGGACACCTGGGGACAGTCTGGGGACATCTGGGGACAGTCTGGGGACACCTGGGGGTACTTGGGGACACCTGGGGACAGTCTGGGGACACTTGGGGACAGTCTGGGGACAGTCTGGGGGCACCTGGGGACAGTGGGGACAGTCTGGGGACACCTGGGGGTACTTGGGGACAGTCTGGGGATATGTGGGGACAGTCTGGGGACACTTGGGGACACTTGCGGGCACTTGGGGCCAGTCTGGGGATAGTTGGTGACATTTGGTGACATTTGGGGACAGGCTGGTGGCACTGGGGATGGTTTGGTGACATTTGGGGACACTTGGGGACAGGCTGGTGGCACTGGGCAGGGTTGGTGACACTTGGGGACCCTTGGGGACAGGCTGGTGGCACTGTGGGCACAGTGGGCAGGGTTGGTGACCCTTGGGGACCCTTGGGGACAGGCTGGTGGCACTGAGGACGCGCGTGGGCAGGGTTGGTGACACTTGGGGACACTTGGGGACAGGCTGGTGGCACTGGGCAGGGTTGGTGACACTTGGGGACACTTGGGGACAGGCTGGTGGCACTGGGCAGGGTTGGTGACACTTGGGGACACTTGGGGACAGGCTGGTGGCACTGTGGGCACAGTGGGCAGGGTTGGTGACATTTGGTGACACTTGGGGACAGGCTGGTGGCACTGAGGACGCGCGTGGCCGTGGCCGAGCTCCGGGCTCAGGACGTTTCCCGCGCGGCCGAACTGCAGCTGCAGAGCCTGAGGCGCCAGCTGGAGGTACCGGGGACAGCTGGGGACAGCTGGGGACACCTGGGGACACCTGGAGACATGGGGACAGCTGGGGACAGCTGGGGACAGCTGGGGACAGCGGGGACACCTGGGGACAGCTGGGGACACCTGGGGACACCTGGGGACAGCTGGGGACAGCTGGGGACACCTGGGGACAGCTGGGGACAGCTGGAGACATGCAGAGGGTGGCAGTGTCCCCGTCCCCATCAGGGTGGCAGTGTCCTGTCCCCGTCCCTGTCCCCGTCAGGGTGGCAGTGTCCCCGTCCCGGTGGCAGTGTCCCTGTCCCTGTCCCCATGAGGGTGGCAGTGTCCCCGTCCCTGTCCCCGTCCCGGTGGCAGTGTCCCTGTCCCCATCAGGGTCGCAGTGTCCCTGTCCCGGTGGCAGTGTCCCTGTCCTGGTGGCAGTGTCCCCGTCCCTGTCCCTGTCCCCGTCCCAGTGGCAGTGTCCCCGTCCCTGTCCCTGTCAGGGTGGCAGTGTCCCCGTCCCGGTGGCAGTGTCCCTGTCCCTGTCCCGGTGGCAGTGTCCCCATCAGGGTGGCAGTGTCCCTGTCCCTGTCCCCATCAGGGTGGCAGTGTCCCCGTCCCTGTCCCCGTCCCGGTGGCAGTGTCCCTGTCCCTGTCCCCATGAGGGTGGCAGTGTCCCTGTCCCTGTCCCCGTCCCGGTGGCAGTGTCCCTGTCCCTGTCTCTGTCCCCAGCAGGGTGGCAGTGTCCCCGTCCCCGTCCCCGTCCCTGTCCCTGTCCCTGTCCCGGTGGCAGTGTCCCCGTCCCGGTGGCAGTGTCCCCGTCCCTGTCCCTGTCCCCGTGGCAGTGTCCCTGTCCCCATGAGGGTGGCAGTGTCCCCGTCCCTGTCCCCATGAGGGTGGCAGTGTCCCTGTCCCTGTCCCGGTGGCAGTGTCCCTGTCCCCATGAGGGTGGCAGTGTCCCTGTCCCTGTCCCCATCAGGGTGGCAGTGTCCCCGTCCCGGTGGCAGTGTCCCCGTCCCCATCAGGGTGGCAGTGTCCCCATGAGGGTGGCAGTGCCCCGTCCCTGTCCCCAGCAGGACAAGGCCCAGGTCCAGGCTCAGGTGACGTCGCTCCTGGGGGAGCTCCGGGAGAGCCAAAATCGCCTCGAGAGGAGCCGGGCGGAGAGAGAACACCTGGAGCGCAGGTGGGACATGGGGACAGGGGGGGACACCTGGGGACACCTGGGGACATGGGGACACACCTGGAGCGCAGGTGGGACATGGGGACGGGGGGGGACATGGGGGGACATGGGGACAGCTGGGGACAGCTGGGGACAGCTGGGGACAGCTGGGGACACACCTGGAGCGCAGGTGGGACATGGGGGGACGTCGGGACAGCTGGGGACACCTGGGGACATGGGGGACATGGGGACACATGTGGGGACACATGTGGGGACACCTGGGGGGACACAGGGACACCTGGAGACATGGGGACACACCTGGGGACACACCTGGGGGGACATGGGGACACCCGGGGGTGGCACAAGGGGCGGTCGGGGTCAGGGACTGTCCCCAAGGGGAGGTGACACCGCAGCAGAGCCGGGCGGGGCGCGAGCACCTGGAGCCAGGTGGGGGTGGCACCTGCGCAGGTGACATCGGGTGACATTGGGTGACATTGGGTGTCCCAGGGCCCGCGGGGACGCCGAGTGGTGCCACCAGCTGGAGGAGGTGGCACAGGGTGACACTGGGTGACATTGGGTGACATTGGGTGTCCCAGGGCCCGCGGGGACGCCGAGCGCTGCCACCAGCTGGAGGAGGTGGCCCAGGGCCACCAGGTGCAGCTGGACCAGCTGCGGCTCCAGGTGACCAACCTGGAAACCGCCCTGAGGGTGGAGCGGCACGGGGCCACCGAGGAGAAGTGAGTGACAGGGACAGGGTGGCACCTGGGGACAGCCGGAATGTCCCCAGGGTCCCCTTGCTGGCCCCGATGTCCCCAATGTCCCCGATGTCCCCGATGTCCCCAATGTCCCCAATGTCCCCAATGTCCTCAAATATCCCCGATGTCCCCCATGTCCCCCCAATGTCCCCAAATGTCCCCAATCCCCCCAATCCCCCCAATGTCCCCCGATGTCCCCAATGTCCCAAATGTCCCCAAATGCCCCCAATGTCCCCAATCCCCCCAATCCCCCCAATGTCCCCACTGTCCCCAATGTCCCCGATGTCCCCCCAATGTCCCCAATCCCCCCAATGTCCCCAATGTCCCCAATGTCCCCAATGTCCCCGATGTCCCCGATGTCCCCATTGTCCCCAATGTCCCCAAATGTCCCCAATCCCCCCAATGTCCCCAATGTCCCCAATGTCCCCAATGTCCCCATTGTCCCCAATGTCCCCAAATGTCCCCAATCCCCCCAATGTCCCCAATGTCCCCAATGTCCCCAATCCCCAGGAGGAAGCTGGTGCAGCTGCAGGCCGCCTACCATCACCTGTTCCAGGAGTACGACGCCCACATCAAGGCCAGCCTGGAGGGGGACAAACGGAGCCAGGTGAGGGGCAGGGGACACCTGGGGACACCTGGGCACACCTGGGGACACCTGGGGACACCTGGGATGTCCCTGTGGCCCTCAGGTGAGTCCTCAAGTGACAGTGCCACCCCCCAGGTGTCACTGTGCTGCCCCAGGTAACACAGGAGTGGGGGGCTGGGGGTGGCACAGGTGACCTTCAGGTGGCACAGGTGACCCCAGGTGTCACAGGAGATCCCTCAGGTGGCACAGGTGACCCTCAGGTGATCTCAGAGGTGGCACAGGTGCCCCCCAGGTGGCACAGGTGATCCCACAGGTGTCCCAGGTGAACCCTCAGGTGTCCCAGGTGACCCTCAGGTGATCTCAGAGGTGGCACAGGTGCCCCCCAGGTGGCACAGGTGCCCCCCAGGTGCCCCTCAGGTGGCACAGCTGACCCCCAAGTGTCACAGGTGTCACAGGTAATCTCAGAGGTGTCACAGGTGACCCTCAGATGACACAGGTGACCGCCCAGGTGACCCCCAGGTGATCTCAGAGGTGTCCCAGGTGACCCTCAGGTGTCCCAGGTGATCTCTCAGGTGTCCCAGGTGCCATTGTCCCCCCCAGGTGACGCAGGAGCAGCTGCGCACGGCCGAGGTGGTGCTGGGGGTGCAGTGGTGGGGATTGGGGGTGACAGAGGTGGCACAGGTGATCTCTCAGGTGTCCCCAGGTGATCTCTCAGGTGTCACAGGTGTCCCCAGGTGATCTCTCAGGTGTCCCCAGGTGTCCCAGGTGTCCCTGTCCCCCCAGGTGACGCAGGAGCAGCTGCGTGCGGCCGAGGCGGCGCTGGCCCTCAAACAGGAGCTCATCGACCGCCTCAAGGCCGAGGCCGAGCGGCAGCGGGCGGCGCTGGAGACCATCCCCGTGCTGCAGGCCCAGGTGGGGCTGGGGGGACCCCCAAACTGCCCTGAGCCCCCCAAAACTGCCCTGAGCCCCCCCCCCAAAACTGCCCTGAGCCCCCCAAAACTGCCCGGAGCCCCCAAACCTGCCCTGAGCCCCCCAAAACTGCCCTGAGCCCCCCCAAATCCCCCCAAACTGCCCTGAGCCCCCCAAAACTGCCCTGAGCCCCCCCAAAACTGCCCTGAGCCCCCCAAATCCCCCCAAAACTGCCCTGAGCCCCCCAAATCCCCCCAAACCTGCCCTGAGCCCCCCCAAAACTGCCCTGAGCCCCCCAAACCTGCCCTGAGCCCCCCAAACTGCCCTGAGCCCCCCAAACCTGCCCGGACCCCCCCAAATCTCCCCCGACCCCCCCAAACCTCCCCCAACCCCCCTAAACCTCACCTGACGCTCCCAAGTCCCCCCAAACCTCCCCCGACCCCCCCAAATCTCACCTGACACCCCCAAATCTCCCCTGACGCTCCCAAATCCCCCCCAACCCCCCCAAATCCCCCCTGACCCCCCCCAAACCTCCCCTGACCCCCCCAAACCTCCCCCTGACTGGATTTTGGGGTTCCCTGGTTGGATTTGGGGTGTCCCATGCTGGATTTTGGGGTTCCCTGTTTGGATTTTGGGGTTCCCTGTTTGGATTTTGGGGTTCCCTGGTTGGGTTTGGGGTTCCCTGTTAGTTTTTGGGGTGTCCCACACTGTTTTTGGGGTTCCCTGGTTGGATTTGGGGTGTCTCACGCTGTTTTTGGGGTGTCTGACGCTGTTTTGGGTCCCAGGCCGACATTTACCGGGCGGATTTCGAGGCGGAGCGCGCGGCGCGGGAGCAGCTGCACGGGCAGAGGGAGGCGCTGCAGGAGGAGCTGAAACAGCTGCGGCTGCGGCTGAGCGGGGACGGGGCCCGGTACGCCTGAGACCCCCAAACACCCCGAAAACACCCTGAAAACAGCCCGAAAACAGCCCGAAAACACCCTGAAAACACCCCAAAACCTCCACAAAAACAGCCCGAAAACACCCTGAAAACAGCCCGAAACCACCCTGAAAACAGCCCAAAAACAGCCCGAAAACAGCCCAAAAACTCCCTGAAAGCACCCCGAAACCACCCCGAAAACACCCCAAAAACACCCCAAAACCACCCCAAAAATACCCTGAAAACAGCCAAAAAACAGCCTAAAAACGCCCTTAAAAGAGCCCAAAACCACCCTGAAAACACCCCGAAAACAGCCCAAAACCACCCCAAAAACACCCCAAAACCAGCCCAAAAGCACCCCGAAAACACCCTGAAAACAGCCAAAAATCACCCTGAAAACACCCCGAAAACACCCCGAAAACAGCCCCAAAACACCCTGAAAACAGCCCAAAAACTCCCCAAAAACACCCCAAAAATACCCCGAAAACAGCCCAGAGCACCCAGAAAATACACTGAAACAGCCCAAAACCACCCCAAAAACACCCCCACAAAACACCCCAAAACTGCCCAAAACCACCCTGAAAGCACCCCAAAAACACCCTGAAAACAGCCCGAAAACTCCCCAAAATCACCCAAACCCACCCCAGGGAACCCCCCTCCCCCCTCCCTCCTCCCTGACATCCCCCAGGGCCCCCCAAAATCCCTCAACTCCCCCGAATGCTCCGGGTGCCCCCCAAAACTCTCCCTGAACCCCAACGGCCCCTAAATAACCCCCCAAAGCCCCCTGAGACCCCCCCAAATCCCCCCAAATCACCCCAAATCCACCCAAAATCCCCCCAAATCACCCCAAATCCCCCCAAAATCCCCCCCAAATCCCCTCAAATCCCCCCAAATCCACCCAAGCCCCCTCAAATCCCCCCCAAATCCTCCCCAAATCCCCTCAAATCCCCCCCAAATCCCCCCAAATCACCCCAAATCCACCCAACCCCCCCCAAAATCCTCCGAAATCCCCCCCAAACCCCCTCAAACCCCCCCAAATCCCCTCAAGTCCACCCAAACTCCCCAAATCACCCCCAAATCCCCCAAATCCTCCCAAATCCCCCCAAATCCACCCAAATCCCCCCAAACCCCCCCAAATTCCCCGAAATCCCCCCAATCTCTCCCAATCCCCCCAAATCCACCCAAATCCCCTCAAACGCCCCCAAATCCCTTCAAATCCCCCCCAAACCCCCCCAAATCCCCCTCAGATCCCCTCAAATCCCCCCCAAATCACCGCAAACCCCCTCAAATCCCCTCAAACCCCCCCAAATCCCTTCAAATCCCCCCCAAATCCCCCTCAATCCCCCCCAAATCCCCCCAAACCCCCCAACCCCCCGTTTCCCCAGGGCCCGACTGGAGGAGATGCGGAACCGTCACTCGGAGCCGCCCCCGGCCCCGGCCCCGGCGGGGGGTGAGTACGGGGGGGGCCCGGGACCCCCAAAATCCGCCCTGGGGGGAGGGGCAGAGCCTGACTGTGCCCCTCCCCCACCCCCCCAGGTTTTGGGGGGCTCCTGCCGCCCCCCGAGGAGGGGCCGGACCTGTGCTGCCCCAAGTGTCAGTACAAGGCCCCGGACATGGACACGCTGCAGATCCACGTCATGGACTGCATCAAGTGAGGGGGGCCCCAAAACCCCCCCCCAGCGCCCCGAAAACATCCAGGGGTGCCCCAAAATCACCCCCCAGCGCCCCGAAAACATCCAGGGGGCACCCCAAAAATACCCCCGGGGACACCCCAAAAGCCCCCCCAGCGCCCCGAAAACATCATGGGGGTGCCCCAAAAACATCCCCCGGGGGCGCCCCAAAAAACCCCCCCAGCGCCCCAAAAACATCCCGGGGGTGCCCCAAAAACATCCCAGGGGCACCCCCAAATCAACCCCAAGGGTGCCCCAAAAACACCCCTGAGAGTGCCCCAAAAACATCCCGGGGGCACCCCAAAAACACCCCGAAGGGTGCCCCAAAATCATCCCCCGGGGGCGCCCTAAAATCACCCCGAGGGTGCCCCAAAATCACCCCGAGGGTGCCCTCTCCGCTCAATAAACACCCCCAAAATTGGCTGAAATCTCGTTTATTGCCCCATTTTTTGGGGGGTCCCCCACCCCCCCTCACTGAGGGGGAGTCTCGGCCCCTCCCCCACCCCGCGGGGGGTTTTGGGGGGGGCGTCACGCGGGGGGATTTTGGGGTGCTGGGGGGGGCTCCGCCCGCTGCTCATCGGGCAGAGCCGGGGGGGGGAGGGGGGGAGGGGATCTTGGAGGGGTCCCCAAAAAAGAGGGGGGGAATTTTGGGGGACCCTCGTTGTGCAGAGCCGGGTCGGGATTTTGGGGGTTCCCCTGCGGCGCTGGGGGGGGGGTCGGGCAGAGATTTGGGGGGGTTTGACCGAATTTGGGGGGCCTTTGTTAGGATTTTTTTTAGGATTTGTTTTGACTTTCGGGGATTTTTGGGGTTTTCTTTGGGGTCCCCTAGCAGGGGGCTCAGCGTGGTTCTTTTGGGGGGATCTGCCCCAATTTTGGGGTTTTCTTTGGGGTTTCTTTGGGGTCCCTTTCCCGGGCGCTGTCTCAGGGCGGGGCTCTGCCCTGGGCGGGGATTTTGGGGGGTCTCTGCCCCAATTTTGGGGTTTCTTTGGGGTTTCTTTGGGGTCCCTATTCCAGGAGCTGTCTCAGGGTGGGGCTCTCCCGTGGGCGGAGATTTTGGGGGTCCCTGCCCCAGTTTTGGGGTTTCTTTGGGGTCCCTTTCCTGGGCGCTGTCTCAGGGCAGGGCTCTCCCCCGGGCGGGGATTTTGGGGTCCCTTTCCCAGGAGCTGTCTCAGGGCGGGGCTCTCCCCCGGGCGGGGATTTTAGGGGTCCCTGCCCCAGTTTTGGGGTTTCTTTGGGGTTTTTTGGGGTCCCTTTCCCGGGCGCTGTCTCAGGGCGGGGCTCTCCCCCGGGCGGGGATTTTGGGGGTCCCTGCCCTAGCAGGGGGCCCGGGGGGGCTCCGGGGGGGGCTCCCCGGGGCTGTCGGGGCGCGGGGGGGCCCCGCGGGGCGGCACCTCGATCACTCGGGGTTTGTCGATGACTCGGGCGCCGCGGGGCCCCTTCTCCACCACGCCGACGATCCACGCCCGCAGCCCCGGCGCCTTCAGCTCCGCGCAGAACCGCGCGGCCTGAGCCCGCGGCAGCACCACCAGCAGCCCCCCTGCGGCACCCCAAAACCAAACCTGGAACCCCGGAACCGGGGGAACCCCAAAACCCCAAACCCCAAACCCCAAAACCCCAAACCCCAAAACCCAAACCCCGAAACCAGGGGAACCCCAAAATCCAAACCCCAAACACCGGAACCCCAGCACCAGGGGAACCCCAAACCCCCAAACCCCGGAACCTCAGAACCATGGGAACCCCGAAATCCAAACCCAGAACCCCAAAATCCAAACTCCGGAACCAGGGGAACCCCAAACCTCGGAACTGGGGGAACCCCAAAATCCAAACCCGGAACCCCGAAATGCAAACCTGGAACCCCCAAAGCCAAACAAACCCCGGAACCCCGAAATCCAAACCCGGAACCGGGGGAACCCCAAACTCCAAACTCCAGAACGCCAAACCCCAGCACCGGGGGAACCCCAACATCCAAACCTGGAACCCCAAAATCCAAACCCAGAACCCCAAAATCCAAACCCGGAAATCCGAAATCCAAACCCAGAACCCCAAAATCCAAACCCCGGAACCGGGGGAACCCCAAACTCCAAACCCCAAACCCCAGCACCAGGGGAACCCCAAACCCCAGAACCATGGGAACCCCAAAATCCAAAACCCGGAACCGGGGGAACCCCAAAATCCAAACCCTGAAACCCCCAAATCCCAGAATCACGAGAACCCTGAAGCCCGGCACCCCAAACCCCCAAACTCCGGCACCCCGGAACCCCAAACCCCAGAACCACAGGAACCCCGAAACCCCAAATCTGGAACTTGGGGAACCCCAAAACCCCAAATCCGGAACCTGGAGAACCCTGAAAACCCGGTGCCCGGGGCACCCCAAACCCATTTGGTGCCCCCAGCCCCATTTTGGGCTCCCCACCCCCATTTTGGGGGTCCCCACCCCCCTTTTCAGGCTCCCCACTCCCATTTTTGGGATCCCCACCCCCTTTTCAGGGTGCCCAGCCCCGTTTCGGGGTGCCCAGCACCATTTTGGGGTCCCCAATCCCATTCCCAATGCCCCTTTTCCCCTTTTCAGGGTCCCAAACCCCAATCTGAGCCCCCCCGAGTGTCCCAAACCCCAATTTGAACTCCCCCAGGGTCCCAAACCCCAATTTGAGCCTCCCAAGAGTCCCAAACCCCAATCTGAGCCCCAAGACCCCAAACCCCAATCTGACCCCGCCGATCCCAAACCCCAATCTGACCCCCAGGGTCCCAAACCCCATTTTGAGTTTCCCGCCCCCATTTTGAGCTCCCCCCCATTCTGAGTCCCCCTTCCCGCGGGTCCCAAACCCCAATTTGAGTTTCCCCCATTCTCAGCCCCCCCAGTGTCCCGAACCCCATTTTGAGTTTTTCCCCCACCTGAGGGTCCCAAACCCCATTTTGAGTTTCCCCCCCACCCCCAGGTCCCAAACCCCAATCTGACCCCCTGGTCCTGACCCCCATTCTGACCCTCCCATGGTCCCAAACCCCATTCTGACCCCCCCCCACCCGAGGGTCCCAAACCCCATTTTGAGTCCCCCCCCCCCCCGCAATTTGAGTTCCCAAGCCCCATTTTGAGCTCTCCCCCCATTCTGAGCCCCCTCCCCGAGTGTCCCAACCCCCAATCTGACCCCCCCCCGCCAAGGTCCCAACCCCCAATCTGAGCCCCCCAGGACCCCAAACCCCAATTTGAGTTTTCCCCCATCCCATGGGGGTCCCATACCCGATGTCTCGGGGGCCGTGCCCTGCAGCAGCCCCCCACAGCCCCCCGGTACCCCCAGTACCCCATACCTGACGTTTCGGGGGCCGTGCCCCGCAGCAGACCCCCGCGGCCCCCCAGGATCCCAAACCCCAATCTGAGCCCCCCAATCCCATCCCCAGGACCCCGTACCCGATGTCTCGGGGGCCGTGCCCCGCAGCAGCCCCCCGCGGCCCCCCAGGATCCCAAACCCCAATTTGAGTTTTCCCCCATCCTGTGGGACCCCGTACCCGATGTCTCGGGGGCCGTGCCCCGCAGCAGCCCAAACCCCAATCTGACCCCCAGTCCCAAACCCCAATTTGCGCCCCCCGAGGGTCCCAAACCCCATTTTGAGCTCCCCCCCTGAGGGTCCCAAACCCCAATCTGAGCCCTCCAAGGGCCCCAATCCCCAATTTAAGTTTCCCCCTCCCAAAGGTCCCAAACCCCATTTTGAGTTCCCAAACCCCATTTTGAGCTCTCCCCCCATTCTGAGACCCCCCCGAGGATCCCAACCCCCATTCTCAGCCCCCCATCCCACCGGACCCCGTACCCGATGTCTTGGGGGCTGTGCCCCGCAGCAGCCCCCCACAGCCCCCCGTACCCGAGGTCTCGGGGGCCGTGCCCCGCAGCAGCCCCCCGCGGCCCCCGCAGGCGCGGCTCACGGCCGCCATGCCCGCCAGCACGGGCAGGTTGTGGATGACGAAGGCCACGTCCTGCCGCTGCTGCGCCGCCAGCGCCCGCGCGTGCCCCAGCAGCCCGAAGCCCGTCACGTCCGTGGCCGCGTGCGCCCCGAAGGCGCGCATCAGCCCCGCCGCTGCGGGGACAGTGGGGTGTCACTGGGGTGTGGGGACATTGGGGACACCTCACAGGGTATGGGGACACCTCACGGGGTACGGGGACACCGGGGACAGCGGGGTCACCGGGGTGTGGGGACATTGGGGACACCTCACGGGGTATGGGGACACCGGGGTCACCAGGGTCACCGGGGTGTGGGGACACTGGGGACACCGCGGGTCACCTCACGGGGCGGGGGGACACAGGGACATCGGGGACACAGGGGCGTAGGGACACCTCATGGGGTATGGGGACACTGGGGACACCGGGCGTGGGGACACCGGTGGGTCACCGGGGCATGGGAACACAGGGGACACCTCACGGGGTGTGGGGACACGGGGACATCGGGGGTGTGGGGACACCGCGGGTCACCGGGGTGTGGGGACATTGGGGACACCGGGGACACCTCACGGGGTATGGGGACACCTCACGGGGCACAGTGTCACCTCACAGGGACACCCTGTCACCTCACGGGGCACAGGGACACCTCATGGGGCGTGGGGACACCTCATGGGGTATGGGGACACCGGTGGGTCACTGTGTGGGCACAGGGACACCGGCCATGGGGACACTGGTGGGTCACCGAGGCATGGGGACACTGGGAACACCGGTGGTCACTGCATGGCCATGGGGACACCAGGGACACCAGGACATGGGGACACCAGTGGGTCACTGGGGCATGGGGACACCAGGGACACCTCACAGGGTATGGGGACACCTCACAGGGCACAGGGACACCTCAAAGGGACACTGTGTCACCTCACGGGGCAGAGGGACACCAGGGCACGTCACCTCATGGGGACACAGTGTCACCTCACGGGACACCAGGACACCTCATGGGGCACAGGGATACTGGGGCACATGATGGGGACACCTCACAGGGCACTGGGACACCTCACAGGGAGTGGCTTTGGGCTCCCTGGGGACATCTGGAGCGACTTTGGGCGTCCCTGGGGTGGCTCTGGGCATCCCTGGGGTGGCTTTGGGCATCCCTGGGGTGGCTCTGGGCTCCCTGGGGTGGCTCTGGGGACATCTGAGGTGGCTTTTGGCATCCCTGGGGTGGCTTTGGGGACATCTGGGGTGGCTTTGGGCATCCCTGGTGTGGCTCTGGGCTCCCTGAGGTGGCTCTGGGGACATCTGGGGTGGCTTTGGGCATCCCTGGAGTGGCTCTGGGGACATGTGGGGTGGCTTTGGGCTCCCTGGGGTGGCTCTGGGCTCCCCGGGGTGGCTCAGGGACAGCCCCGGTGGCTCCATCGGGGTAGCCCTGTCCCCAGTGTCACGCACCGGTGCGGTTCAGCGTGGCCATGCTGGCCACGGCCTCCTGGTAGGCCAACTCCACCTCCTCCCGCGTCACCACCAGCTTGATCTTGTTCCAGCGCTCAGGCTGCGGGGACAGCGGGGGGGGGACAGCCTCAGGGACACCTTGGGGACACGGGGCTGGCTCTGCCCACCCCCCGCAGTGTCCCCCCGTCCCTCCCGGTGCCCTCAGCGTCACTCACGATGTCCAGCCACTGGTGGGCGGTGACAGCCATGTGTGTCCCCAGGGGCTTGGTCAGCACCAGCACGTCCCCGGGCACGGCGCTGTCCGGCCTGGCCAGGGCGGGGGTCAGCAGGGGGGACACGCCCCATGTCCCAAACCCCGCCCCATGTCCCCAAACCCTGCCCCCATGTCTCCAAACCCCGCCCCCATATCCCAAAACCCCGCCCCATGTCCCAAACTCCGCCCCCATGTCGCCAAACCCCGCCCCCATGTCCCCAAACCCCGCCCCAGTCCCCAAGCCCCGCCCCATGTCCCAAACTCCGCCCCCATGTCTCCAAACCCCGCCCCCATCTCCCCAAACCCCGCCCCCTGTCCCCAAACCCCGCCCCCATGTCCCCAACCCCGCCCCAATGTCGCCAAACCCCGCCCCTTGTCCCCAAACCCCGCCCCCATGTCCCCAAACCCCACCCACCACACAAATGATTGACAGGTGGCACAGGCCCCGCCCACCACATAAATGATTGACAGGTGCTCTGGCCCCGCCCACCACCCAATGATTGACAGGTGCTCTGGCCCCGCCCCACTCACATGATGAACTCGCTGGATTGGCACACAGCCGTGGCCACGCCCCCCACGATGACCCAGGGGTTCAGCACCGTCTGTCCCCCCGTCACCGACGTCCCCCCGTCCTCGGCCGCGTCCCGGAACCCCTGGATGATCAGCGGCATCACCTTGTCCCGCTCCTGGGGACACCAGCGGGCTGTCACCCCCGGGGTCCTTGTCACCAACTCAGTGTCCCTGTCACCCCCGGGGTCCTTGTCACCCCCGGGGTCCTTGTCACCCCCGGGGTCCCTGTCACCCCCACAGGGTCCCTGTCACCCCCTGGGGTTCCTGTCACCCTGTCACCCACCAGGGTCCCTGTCACCTCCACAGTGTCCCTGTCACCCCCCCGGGGTCCCTGTCACCCCCACAATGTCCCTGTCACCCACCAGGGTCCATGTCACCTCCACAGGATCCCTGTCACCCCCACAGTGTCCCTGTCACCCACCAGGGTCCTGTCACCCCCGGGGTCCCTGTCACCCCCCCGGGGTCCCTGTCACCCCCACAGGGTCCCTGTCACCCCAACAATGTCCCTGTCACCCCCCATGGTCCCTGTCACCCCCACAGTGTCCCTGTCACCCCCGGGGTCCCTGTCACCCCCCCAGTGTCCCTGTCACCCCCCAGGGTCCCTGTCACCCCACAGAGTCCCTGTCACCCCCACAGTGTCCCTGTCACCCCCCTGGGGTCCCTGTCACCGGCTCAGTGTCCCTGTCACCCCCACAGGGTCCCTGTCACCCCTCCAGGGTCCTGTCACCAACTCAGTGTCCCTGTCACCCCCACAGTGTCCTTGTCCCCTCCTGTATCCCTGTCACCCTCTCAGTGTCCCTTGTCACATCCTCAGTGTCCTGCTGACCCCCCAGCGTCCCTGACACCCCCCCATGTCCCCCGTCCCTGTCACCTCATCGCTTATGCCACCAGGACACTGTCACCCCCAGGGTCCCTGTCACCCCCACAGTGTCCCTGTCACCCCTGGGGTCCCTGTCACCTCCACAGTGTCCCTGTCACCCCCACAGTGTCCTTGTCCCCTCCTGTACCCCTGTCACCCTCTCAGTGTCCCTTGTCACATCCTCAGTGTCCTGCTGACCCCCCAGCGTCCCTGACACCCTCCATGTCCCCTGTCCCTGTGTCACCTCGTCGCTATTGCCACCAGGACACTGTCACACCCAGTGTGTGTCCCCCCCATGTCCCCGTGTCCCCCCCGTGTCCCCGTGTCACCCCCATGTCCGTGTGTCTCTGTGTCCCCCCCATGTCCCTGTGTCCCTGTGTCACCTCCGTGTCCCTGTGTCCCCCCTGTGTCCCCGTGCCACCCCCCGTCGCTGTCACCTCGTCGCTCATGCGCTGGCTGACGCTCAGCAGCATCAGGACGTTGTCACACTCTGTCACCCCCATGGCGTACAGGTCGCTCAGGACGTTGGCACAGGCGATGCGGCCCTGGAACGGGGGGGGAGGGGATTTTGGGGGGTCCAGGGCAGGACTGGGGGACCCTGATAGGGTTTGGGGGGTCCAAAATGGGGTTTGGGGGGGTCCAGGGCAGGATTGGGGGACCCTGATGGGGTTTGGGGGGTCCAAAATGGGTTTGGGGGGGTCAAGGGCAGGATTTTGGGGTACCCTGATGGGGTTTGGGGAGTCCAAAGTGGGTTTAGGGGGGTCCAAGGCAGAGTGTGGGAGCCTTGGGATGGATTTCAGGGGTCTGAAGGGGATTTTGGGGGCCCTCGGGTGAGATTTGGGGTCCCCAGGTGGGATTTCGAGGTCACAGGTAAGATTTGGGGTGCCCAGGGTGGGATTTGGGGTCCCCAGGGGGGATTTGGGGTGCCCAGATGAGATTTGGGATGCCCAGGGTGGGATTTGAGGTCCTCAGGGGGGATTTGGGGTACCCAGGGTGGGACTGGGGGGGGGGTCTCCTGGTGGGATTTGGGGTCCCCAGGTGGGATTTCGAGATCACAGGTGAGATTTGGGGTGCCCAGGGTGGGATTTGGGGTCCCCAGGGGGGATCTGGAATGCCCAGGGTGGTATCTGGGGTCACCAGGGGGAATTTGGGGTGCCCAGGGTGAAATTTGGGGTCCCCAGGTGGGATTTGGGGTGCAGGGAGTATTTATGGGGTCCCAGGGGTATTTATGGGGTCCCAGGGGTATTTATGGGGTCCCAGGAGTGATTTTGGGGTCCTGGGAGTGACTTTGGGGTGCCAGGGGTGATTTTGGGGTGCAGGGGATATTTTTGGGGTCTCAGGAGTATTTTTGGGGTCCCGGGGGTGACTTTGGGGTGCAGGGGGTATTTTTGGGGTCCCGGGGGTGATTTTGGAGTCCCAGGGGTGATTTTGGGGTGCAGGGGGTATTTTTGGGGTGCAGGGGGTGTTTTTGGGGTCCCGGGGGTATTTTTGGGGTCCCAGGGTGTATTTTTTTGAGGTACCATCATGTAGGGATCGTCGATGATGGGGTAGAAGAAGTCGGTGGTCTGCACCAGCGAGAGCCCCCCGTGCCTCAGCGGGATCACGCACGAGTCCAGCCCGATGCCTGCGGGCACAGCGGGCACAGAGAGGGTCATGGGGGCACAGAACCCATCCCGGGGGGCACTGAGCCCATCCCGGGGGCACCGAGCCCATCCCGGCGGGCACTGAGCCCATCCCGGGGGCACCGAGCCCATCCCGGGGGCATTGAACCCATCCCGGGGCACCGAGCCCATCCCGGGGGGCACCGAGCCCATCTCGGGGGCACCGAGCCCATCTCGGGGGGCACCGAGCCCATCCCGGGGGCACCGAGCCCATCCCGGGGGCACCGAGAGGGTCATGGGGGCACTGAGCCCATCCCGGGGGGCACCGAGCCCATCCCGGGGGCACTGAGCCCATCCGGGGGGCACTGAGCCCATCCCGGGGGGCACCGAGCCCATCCCGGGGGCACCGAGCCCATCCCGGGGGGCACCGAGCCCATCCCGGGGGGCACCGAGCCCATCCCGGGGGCACTGAGCCCATCCCGGGGGCACCGAGCCCATCCCGGGGGGCACCGAGCCCTCAGGGGGGGCACCGAGCCCATCCCGGGGGCACTGAGCCCATCCTGGGGGCACCGAGCCCATCCCGGGGGGCACTGAGCCCATCCTGGGGGGCACCGAGCCCATCCCGGGGGGCACCGAGCCCTCAGGGGGGGCACCGAGCCCATCCCGGGGGGCACCGAGCCCTCAGGGGGGCACCGAGCCCATCCCGGGGGCACTGAGCCCTCAGGGGGGCACCGAGCCCATCCCGGGGGCACCGAGCCCATCCCGGGGGGCACCGAGCCCATCCCGGGGGGCACCGAGCCCATCCCGGGGGGCACCGAGCCCTCAGGGGGGCACCGAGCCCATCCTGGGGGCACCGAGCCCATCCCGGGGGGCACCGAGCCCATCCCGGGGGCACCGAGCCCATCCCGGGGGCACCGAGCCCATCCCGGGGGCACCGAGCCCATCCCGGGCAGCACCGGGACACACGGATGGGGCGTTCCGGGCGGGAACGGGACGCGGATCCTGCCCGGGGGGGGGAACCGGATCCGCGGGGGCCCCTCCCCCTCCCGCCCCTCCCCCTCCGTGCCCTTTGTCCCCTCCCCTCCCCCTCTCGCCACCTTTGCCCCCGGCCCCGCCCCCCTCCAACCTTCGCCCTCAGGAGTGCCCCGAACCCCTCAGGGACCCCCCCCCCAAACCCCTCAGGGACCCCCGAACCCCTCAGGGGACCCCCAAACCCCTCAGCGACCCCCAAACCCCTCAGGGACCCCCAAACCCCTCAGGGCCCCCCGAACCCCTCAGGGGACCTCCGAACCCCTCAGGGGATACCCAAACCCCTCAGGGGATACCCAAACCCCTCAGGGACCCCCGAACCCCTCAGGGACCCCCAAACCTCTCAGGGTCCCCCGAACCCCTCAGGGATCCCCAAACCCCTCAGGGACCCCCGAACCCCTCAGGGACCCCAAACCTCTCAGGGCCCCGCGATCCCCTCAGCGTCCCCCCATTGCCCGAAGCCCTCACGGAGCCCTCACGGACCCCCCCCACACTCACCCAGCGCCCGTGTCCCGCCGCTCTCCGCTTCCGCCCCTTCCCCTCCGCCTCCTGCGGCTCCCGCGGGGCTCTGCCCTTCCAGTCCCGCCAGGAGCTTGAGCAGCGTCTCCTGCGGGACTTTGCAGCCTCAGCCGCGCAGTTCCCCGTAGGCCGTGAGGCGCCAGGACGGGTCCAGGCCCAGCGCCGCCGGGTCCCAGCGCCGCGACCCGCCCGCCGCCGCCGCCATCTTGCAATGAGCCGGCCCGCCGCCCGCCGCCGCCGCTGATTGGCTGCGGCCCCGCCGCCGGCGGGCGCTGATTGGGCGACGCGTGAGGAGCGCGGGCGGCGATTGGTCGGTTTGGAGAGGGAGGAGGCGGTGCCAATGCTGGGCGGGGTCTAAGGGGGGTGTGACAGGTGAGGAGAGCGGCGATTGGTCCGTGGAGGAAGGAGGGCGTGGCTTACAGGGAACAGCGCGAGGCGTTGGCGGGAAGCGCGCGAGGCGGGCGCTGATTGGTCGGGCTGCTGAGGGGGCGGGACGCCGCGCGAAAGTGCGGGCGGGGATTGGCTGGGCCGAGAGGAGGCGGAGCCGCTCCCACGTGGGTGGGCGTGGTCGCGGCGTGGCCGGAAGCGGAAGTGCTGTGCGGGTGCCAGCATGGCGGCGCCGGGGGCGGCGGACGGGGGAGGCTCCGGCGGGACCGCGGGGCCCGCCACGGGTGAGGGGGGACGGCCGGGGGCGGCCGGGGGCGGGCAGAGACCTGGGGGGGCTGGGGGGTGCGGGGGGTGCAGGGGGGTGCGGGGTGAGGGGGCCCGGGGTGCTCTGGGGGATGAGGGGGCTGTGGGGGCTGCGGGGATTTGCGGGGTCCCGGGGATGTGGGGAATGAGGGGGGCTGGGGGGATGTGGGGGTGCTCTGGGGGGATGTGGGGCAGGGCCGGGAGGTGCCCGGGGGCTGCTTCTGGGGGCGCCGGGGGCGGTTCTGGGGGGGCTGGGGCTGGTTCTGGGGTCTGGGAACAGTTCTGGGGGTCTGGGGGCGGTTCTGGGGGTCTCGGGGCGGTTCTGGGGGGTCTGGGGGCGGTTCTGGGGGTCTGGGGGCGGTTCTGGGTGCCCGGGGGCAGTTCTGGGGGGTCTGGGGCTGATTCTGAGGGTCTGGGGGTCTGGGGGCGGTTCTGGGGGGTCTGGGGGCGGTTCTGAGGGGTCTGGGGGCGGTTCTGGGGTGCCTGGGGGCGGTTCTGGGGGTCTGGGGGCAGTTCTGGGGGTCTGGGGGCAGTTCTGGGGGTGGTTCTGGGGGGTCTGGGGGCAGTTCTGGGGTGCCTGGGGGTGGTTCTGAGGGGCCTGGGGGTAGTTCTGGGGGTCTGGGGGTGGTTCTGGGGGACCTGGGGGCAGTTTTGGGGATCTGGAGACAGTTCTGAGGGGCCTGGGGCAGTTCTGGAGGTGGTTCTGAGGGTCTGGGGGCGGTTCTGAGGGCCCGGGGACGGTTCCGGGGTCGGTTCTGGGGTCTGGGGGCAGTTCTGGGGGGTCTGGGGGTGGTTCTGAGGGGCCTGGGGGGCAGTTCTGGGGGTCTGGGGGCAGTTCTGGGGGGTCTGGGGGCAGTTCTGGGGTGCCTGGGGCTGGTTCTGAGGGGCCTGGGGGTAGTTCTGAGGGTCTGGGGGTGGTTCTGGGGGGCCTGGGGGCAGTTTTGGGGATCTGGAGACAGTTCTGAGGGGCCTGGGGCAGTTCTGGGGGTGGTTCTGAGGGTCTGGGGGCAGTTCTGAGGGTCTGGGGGTGGTTCTGAGGGCCCGGGGACGGTTCCAGGGTCGGTTCTGAGGGGTCTGGGGGCAGTTCTGCGGGTCTGGGGATGGTTCTGAGGGGCCTGGGGGCAGTTTTGGGGATCTGGGGCTGGTTCTCGGGGTGGTTCTGGGGGTCTGGGGGCAGTTCTGGGGGTCCGGGGCTGGTTCTGAGGACCCCAGGACGGTTCTGGGTGCTCAGGACGGTTCCAGGGTCTCGGGGCAGCTGCGGCCGGGGCTGGCGGGGCCAGGCCGGGGTGTCCCCCCCGGTGACCCGGCTGTCCTCCCCCTGTCCCCCGCTGTCCCCACGCCGTCCCCGCAGTGTCGCGGCGGGTGAAGTACGGCAGCCTGGCCGTGCTGGTGCTGCAGAACGCCTCACTCGTGCTCAGCATCCGCTACGTGCGCACCCGGCCCGGGGAGCGGTTCCTGCCCAGCACCGCCGTGGTGATGGCCGAGGCCATGAAGGGCACGGCCTGCCTGCTGCTGCTGCTGCTGCAGCACCGAGGTGGGGCTGGGGACACTGATTGGGGACATCATTGGGGACATTGGGGACACGGGGTCTGTGCCTGCTGCTGCTGCTGCTGCTGCAGCACCGAGGTGGGACATTCATTGGGGACATTGGGGACACTGATTGGGGACACTGGGGTCTGTGCCTGCTGCTGCTGCTGCAGCACCGAGGTACGGCTGGGGACATTGACTGGGGACATTGGGGACATGGATTGGGGACATTGGGGACATTGGGGACACGGGGTCTGTGCCTGCTGCTGCTGCTGCTGCTGCAGCACCGAGGTGGGACACAGGGACATTGATTGGGGACACTGGGGGGATTGGGGACACTGGGGGGATTGGGGACACGGGGGGCATTGGGTCTGTGCCTGCTGCTGCTGCTGCAGCACCGAGGTGGGGCTGGGGACATTGATTGGGGACATTGGGGGCAATGGGGACATTGGGGACATTGGGGACACGGGGTCTGTGCCTGCTGCTGCTGCTGCTGCAGCACCGAGGTGGGACATGAGACATTGGGGACATTGGGGACATGGGGACATTGGGGACATTGGGGACATTGGGGACACTGGGGACACAGGGGACATTGGGGGGATTGGGGACAGTTGGGACACTGGGGGCATTGGGGACATTGGGGACATGGGGGCATTGGGGGCATTGAGGACATTGGAGACATTGGGGGGGTGGGGACACTGGGGACATGGAGGACACTGGGGATGTTGGGGGGATTTGGGACATCGGGGACACAGGGACACTGGGGGGTGGCAGTGGCCGTGTCCAGCCCGCTGTCACCGCTGTCCCTGACGCTGTCCCCCCCCAGGCAGTGTCCGGCAGACGGCGGTGACGCTGCACGAGGCCGTGGTGGGACAGTTTGGGGACACGCTGCGCCTGGCTGTCCCCTCGCTCATCTACACCCTGCAGAACAACCTGCAGTACGTGGCCATCTCCAACCTGCCCGCCGCCACCTTCCAGGTGGGACACGGGCACGGCTCGGGGACACGGGGACCGGGGACCGGGCTGGTGACCGGGGCCCTGGGACGGTCACTGTGTCACTGGGACAGTCACCGTGTCACTGGGACAGTCACCATGTCCCTGTCCATGTCACTGTCACAGTCACTGTGTTCCCATGTCACTGGGACAGTCACCGTGTCACTGTGACAGTCACCGTGTCACTGTGTCCATGTGACAGTCACCGTGTCACTGTGACAGTCACCGTGTCCATGTGACAGTCACCGTGTCACTGTCTGTGTCACTGTGACAGTCACGGTGTCCCTGTCCCCATCTTAGTGACAGTCATAGTGTCCTGTGCCCGTGTCCTTGTGACAGTCACCGTGTCCCTGTCCCCATCCCTGTGACAGTCACTGTGTCCCTGTGACAGTCACCGTGTCACTGTCCATGTCACTGTCACAGCCACTGTGTCCCTGCTGGTGACAGTCACCGTGTCCCTGTGTCCGTGTCCCTGTTCCCACACTGTGTCTGTGTCCTGCAGGTGACCCTGTCCCCCAGGTCACCCTGTTCTCACCCCTGTCCCCAGGTGTCCCTACCCCCGTCACCCTGTCCCTGCTGTCCCGCAGGTGACATCCAGACACAGATCCTGTCCCTGTCCCCTCAGGTGACCCCGTCCTCAGGTGTCCCTGTCCTCACAGGTGTCCCTGTCCCCACAGGTGTCCCTGTCCCTGCAGGTGTCCCTGTCCCCACATGACACTGTCCCCACAGGTGTCCCTGTCCCCACAGGTGTCCCTGTCCCCACATGACACTGTCCCCACAGGTGACCCTGTCCCCACAGGTGTCCCTGTCCCTCCTGTCCCCAGCTGTCCCTGTCTCCTCGGTGACCAGGTCCCTGCTGGCCTTGCAGGTGACCCTGTCCACAGGTGACCATCCCTGCTGTCCCCTGATGACTGTCCCTGTGTCCATCCACAGGTGACTGTCCCTGTCCCTGTCCCATCCCCGTCCCTGTCCCCCCCGCAGGTGACTGTCCCCACGCCCAAGTGACTGTCCCCATGCCCAGGTGACTGTCCCTGTCCCATCCCTGTCCCTGTCCCACCCCAGGTGACTGTCTGATCTCTGTCCCTGTCCCCCTGTGCAGGTGACTGTCCCTGTCCCTGTCCCATCCCCGTCGCTGTCCCCTCGCAGGTGACTGTCCCTACCCCAGGTGACTGTCGCATCCCCATCCCTGTCCCTGTGCAGGTGACTGTCCCCATCCCATCCCTGTCCCATCCCTGTCCCTGTCCCTACCCCAGGTGACTGTCCCCATGCCCAGGTGACTGTCCCATCCCTGTCCCATCCCTGTCCCTGTCCCCATCCCAGGTGACTGTCCCCATCCCATCCCCGTCCCTGTCCCTGTCCCTGTCCCCATCCCATCCCTGTCCCTGTCCCACCCCAGGTGACTGTCCCATCCCATCCCTGTCCCCGTGCAGGTGACTGTCCCATCCCTGTCCCCATCCCATCCCTGTCCCCATGCCCAGGTGACTGTCCCCACCCCAGGTGACTGTCCCTGTCCCCCCCCAGGTGACCATCCCCATGCTCAGGTGACTGTCCCTGTCCCATCCCTGTCCCTGTCCCATGCCCAGCTGACCATCCCTGTCCCCGTGCAGGTGACGTACCAGCTGAAGATCCTGACCACGGCGCTGTTCTCGGTGCTGCTGCTGGGCACGGCGCTGTCGCGGCTGCAGTGGCTGTCTCTGGCGCTGCTGTTCGCCGGCGTGGCGCTGGTTCAGGCCGAGCAGGCGCGTGCCGTGCCCCCGGCTGTCGCGGCGCTGCCGTCACCGGGCCCCGAGGCGCCGGCGCAGAGCTACGCCGTGGGGCTGGCGGCCGTGGCCGCCTCCTGCCTGTCCTCGGGCTTCGCCGGCGTGTACTTCGAGCGGCTGCTGAAGCGCTCGGGCGGCTCCATCTGGCTGCGCAACGTGCAGCTGGGCGCCGTGGGCACGGCCGTGGGGCTGGGCGCCATGCTGGCCGCCGAGGGCCCGGCCGTGGCCGCGCTCGGCTTCTTCTACGGCTACAACGGCGCCGTGTGGGCCGTGGTGGTGAACCAGGCGGCGGGCGGGCTGCTGGTGGCCGTGGTGGTGCGATACGCCGACAACATCCTGAAGGGTTTCGCCACGGCGCTGTCCATCCTCGCCTCCACCGCCGCCTCGGCGCACCTCTTCGGCTTCCGGCCCCGCGCGCCCTTCCTGGCCGGCACCGCCATGGTGCTCGCCGCCGTCGTGCTCTACGGCCGCCCGCGCGGAAATGCGGGCACCGGGCACGGAACCGGGCATGGAACCGTGGGCAACGTGGGCACCGGGCACGGCACAGCCCGAGGGCAGGACAGTGGCAAGTCAGTGGGGCCCTAGGGAGCGGGGAGAGGGGAGTGGGGAGGGGATGGGAGAGGGGGGCACAGGTCAGGGGTCAGGGGGCACAGGTGAAGGTCAGGGGGCACAGGTGAGGGGACCCAAGTCAGGGTCAGCAGCTGAGGGGTCACAACTGAGGGGTTACAGGTGAAGGTCACAGGTGGGGGTCACACATGAGAGGACCAGGTCAGGGGTCAGAGGTGAGGTAGTCACAGGTGAAAGTCACAGGTGAGGGGGTCACAGGTGAAGGGTCACAGGTGAGGTAGTCACAGGTGAGAGGACCCAGGTCAGGGGTCACAGGTGAGGGGGTCAGACGTGAGGGGTCACAGGTGAAAGTCACAGGTGGGGGGTCAGCAGGTGAGAGGACCCAGTTGAGGGGGTCACAGGTCAGGCGGCACAGGTGTGGGGGTCACAGGTGAGGGATCACAGGTGAAGGTCACAGGTGAGAGGACCCATGTGAGGGGTCACAGGTGAAAGTCAGGTCAGGGGTCACAGGTGAGGGGGTCACAGGTTAAGGTCACAGGTGAGGGTCATATGTGAGAGGACCCAGGTCAGGGGTCACAGGTGAGGGTCAGAGATGAAGGGTCACAGGTGAGGGGTCAGCAGGTGGCAGAGGCTCATTAGGGCTCATTAGTGCTCATTAGCAGGGAGGAGCTCTGGGGTCAGGAGGTGGCAGGGACTCATTAGGCTCATTAGTGCTAATTAGGGCTCGTTAGGCTCATTAGCAGGAAGGAGCCCCGATCTTGGGGCGCTGGGGACTCGTTAGGGCGATGGGCAGCTCATTAATGCTCATTAACTGATGAGGGCTCGTTAAGGTTTATTGGGTGCTGGGGGACCCCAAGGTGGAGGTTAATGAGGTCAGAGGTTAACGAGGCGGGCAGGGCTAATGAGGTTAATGAAAGGTAAACACGGTTAATGAAGGGTTAACGGGGCTAACGGTTAACTCGTTAACGAGGGGTTAATTAGGGTAATTAGGGGCTGATGGGACCCCCCTCCCCCCCCTCGGGCTCCCCTCCCCCGCCGGATGTACAGATTTTGTAGGGGGGGGAGGGGCCGGACGCGTTTTGGGGTGAATAAAGGCGGATTTGGTAAACGGCGCCTGCGGGGGCACTAACACACTAACGGGGATGTATGGGATCTATAGGGGACCTGTGGGATCTATAGGGGACCTGTGGGATCTATAGGGGACCCTGTGGGATCTATAGGGACCCTGTGGGATCTATAGGGGACCTGTGGGATCTATAGGGGACCCTGTGGGATCTATGGGGGACACCCCCCAGACCATACTGGATCCATAGGAGACACCCCCTAGGCCATATAGGATCCATGGGGCCATATAGGATCCATAGGGCTGTACAAGATCCATGGGGCCATACAGAATCCATAGGGCCATACGGGATCCATAGGGCTGTACAAGATCCATAGGGCCATACAGAATCCATAGGGCTGTACAGGATCCATGGGGCCATATAGGATCCATAGGGCCGTATAGAATCCATAGGTCTCAGCGCCCTGCGGGTCTCTCTCTCTCTTGCAGGTCTCCCAGCAAGGACAAAGGCACCTGACGGCACCGAGCACCCCCCCGGGCCCTATAGGGACTGCCCTCAGTCCCTATAGCCGCCATATGGCCGCCCCCCCCTCCGGGGGCTATAGGGACCCCCCGGTCCCTATAGGGCCGTATGGACCCCCCAGTCCCTACAGGCAGCTCAGGGCCACTCCTGGTCCCCAGAGGAGCCCTATGGCCGCTCCCCCATCGCGGTGGGCTATAGGGACGCCCGAGGTCTCTATAGGGGCCCCCAAAGTCTCTATAGGGGCCCCCGCGCGGTTTTGGGGTGAATGAAGCGAATTTTGGTCAAAGCTTTGGCTCCGCGCCGCCGCCAGGGGGCGCCACCCCGACCCGTCCGCGCATGCGCCGCACTCGCGCTGCCATTGGCCAGCCGGGAATGATTGACAGGAACCATCGAGGCGCGCCTTTATTGGCCCCCGCGCCACTTCCGCCCGACGAAGGGCGGAAACGTCCTGCGGACCGGAAGTCGCGACCATAGAGAGGCGCTTCCGGCCGCGCTCTCGATGGCGCCCGGTCCTCCCGGCCGCTCCCAGTTGCTCCCAGTTGCTCCCAGTCGCTCCCAGTTCCCCCCGGCCGCTCCCAGCGCCCTCGCAGCGCCTCAGCGCAGCAGCCGGGCCAGCAGCCAGCAGCCCAGCGTCACCCAGTGGCTGGCCCAGTTCAGCTCCGACCACTTGCGCACGGTGTAGGCCATGCCGTAACCCTGAGGGGCCGAGGGGCGTCGGGGTCAGAGCGACCCCAAACCATGGTGGGCAGGGGGGTTCTGGGGGGCTGAGGGTCCCACCTGCTCCTCCACGGCGTCCTCGGCCTCCACATCGAACAGGGCGCCCAGGTAGGACAGGTGGAACAGGGCCAGGGCGCCCAGGGCCGCGTTCAGCGCCCGCACCCACAGCGCCTGCGGGACCCGAGACCGTCAGGGACCCAAAAACCTCCCGAGAGCCCCAACCCCACCCCGCAGTGAGGCTGCAGGACCCCCAGCACCCCCCAAATCCCCTTGGGGAGACTCTCTGCCCTCCCCATGGGGCGGCCAAACGCCCCCAGCCGGGATCCCCATTGAGCCCCCGAGCCCCCCGATCGCCCCCGAGCCCCCCAGCCCCGTCTCACGTCCTTGTGGCGGTGGCCGCAGCGCGGGGGGCAGCGCTTGGACAGCACGCAGGCGTCCAGGATGGCGGCCAGGCGCGTCCGCAGGGCTGCGGGGAGGGCGGGGTCAGCGGGGACACGCCCACCGCGGGACACGCCCTCTGCCCCGCCCAGCACTGCAGGCCCCGCCCACATTACCACAGCCCCGCCCACATTGTCAGAACCCCGCCCATCTCTGTATGCCCTGCCCACATTGGCACGGCCCCGCCCATCACTATAGGCTCTGCCCACATCCTCAGAGCCCCGCCCATCACTGCAGGCTCCGCCCACATGGTCACAGCCCTGCCCAAATTGTCAGAACCCCGCCCATCTCTTTATGCCCCGCCCACACCATCAGAGACCCGCCCACACCATCACTGCCCCAGCCATCACTGCAGGCTCCGCCCACATTGTCGAACCCCGCCCATCTCTGCAGGCTCCGCCCACACCCTCACAGCCCCGCCCATCACTGTAGGATCCACCCACATCCTCAGAGCCCCGCCAATCACTGCAGGCTCCACCCACAGTCAGCCCCGCCCATCACTGCAGGCTCCACCCACACCCTCAGAGCCCCGCCCATCACTGCAGGCTCCGCCCACACCGTCACAGCCCCGCCCACCAATTCAGGCTCCACCCACATCCCCAAGTCCCGCCCCAATTCCTGGCCCCGCCCACCCCTGCCATTCCCAGCGCTGCAGCCCCGCCCTCAGCCTTAGGCCACGCCCACATTCAAAGCAGCCGCTAAGCCCCTCCCACCCGGCCCCGCCCCTTAAAGGGGCAGCGCTGACCGTGCTCGGCGTAGGTGATGAGGCCCAGGGAGAGCAGCACGGCCGCCAGGTGGAAACTGAGGCCCTGGGGGGACACGGGGGGGCTTTGGGGGGACTTGGGGGGGTCCTGGGGGGATTTGGGGGGCTTTGGGGAGGTCCTGGGGGGCTTTGGGGGGGTCCTGAGGGGCTCTGGGGGGTCTGTGGGGCTTTGGGGGGATTTGGGGGAGTCCTGGGGAAGGTTAGGGGAGTCCTGGGGGGCTTTGGGGGGGTCCTGGGGGGCTTTGGGGGGGTCCTGAGGGTCTTTGGGGGGATTTGGGGGCATCCTGGGGGGATTTGGGGGAGTCCTGGGGGGCTTTGGGGGAGTCTTGAGGGGGTTTGGGGGGATTTGGGGGAGTCCTGGGGGACTTTGGGGGGGTCCTGGGGGGCTTTGGGGGGGCCTGGGGGGCTTTGGGGGGTCCTGGGGGGGTTTGGGGGGATTTGGGGGGGTCCTGAGGGGCTTTGGGGGGATTTGGGGGGGTCCTGGGGGGGTTTGGGGGAGTCCTGAGGGGCTTTGGGGGGGTCCTGTGGGGCTTTGGGGGGGTCCTGGGGGGGTCCTGAGGGGCTTTGGGGGGATTTGGGGGGGTCCTGGGGGGCTTCGGGGGGGTCCTGGGGGGGTCCTGAGGGTCTTTGGGGGGATTTGGGGGAGTCCTGGGGAAGGTTAGGGGAGTCCTGGGGGGCTTTGGGGGGGTCCTGGGGGGGTCCTGAGGGGATTTGGGGGGGTCTGGGGGAGTCCTGAGGGGCTTTGAGGGGGTCCTGAGGGTCTTTGGGGGGGCTTGGGGGGCTTTGGGGGGGCCTGGGGGGCTTTGGGGGGGTCCTGGGGGGCTTTGGGGAGGTCCTGGGGGGATTTGGGGGGCTTTGGGGGGGCCTGGGGGCTTTGGGGGGATTTGGGGGGTCCTGGGGGGCTTTGGGGGAGTCCGGGGGGCTTTGGGGCAGTCCTGGGGGGCTTTGGGGGAGTCCTGACGAGCTCTGTGGGGCTTTTGGGGGGGTCCTGGGGGGGGATTGGGGGTTGCTGGGGGGCATTGGGGGGTCCAGCAGGATTTGGGGGGGTCCTAGGGGGCTTTAGGGGGGTCCTGAGGGGCTTTGGGGGGATTCTGGGGGGCTTTTGGGGGGGTCCTGGGGGATTTTGGAGGTTTTTGGGGTGGTTTTGGGGTGGTTTTTGGGGTGTTTTTGGGGTTTTTGGGGTCCCTCACGTGCAGCAGGGCGCTGGCTGCGTAGGTGCCCAGCACGGCGGCAAAGGTGCCCAGGCAGCGAGCGGTCTGGAACACGTCTGCAACACCAGTGACACCAGTGACACCAGTATGGAACACCAGTGACACCAGTATGGGACACCAGTTACACCAGTAACACCAGTTACACCAGTATGGGACACCAGTCACACCAGTTACACCAGTATGGGACACCAGTCACACCAGTATGGGCTCCAGGGCCCCAGGCATCCCTCCTAGTCCCTCCCAGTTCCCTCCCAGTCCCTCCCAGTTCCCCCCCAGTCCCCTCCCAGTCCCCTCCCAGTTCCCCCCCAGTCCCTCCCAGTTCCCCCCCAGTCCCTCCCAGTTCCCCCCCAGTCCCTCCCAGTCCCTCCCAGTTCCCCCCAGTCCCCTCCCAGTTCCCTCCCAGTTCCCCCCCAGTCCCTCCCAGTTCCCCCCAGTCCCTCCCAGTCCCTCCCAGTCCCTCCCAGTTCCCCCCCAGTCCCCTCCCAGTCCCTCCCAGTCCCTCCCAGTCCCTCCCAGTCCCTCCCAGTTCCCTCCCAGTCCCTCCCAGTTCCCCCCCAGTCCCCTCCCAGTCCCTCCCAGTCCCTCCCAGTCCCTCCCAGTTCCCTCCCAGTCCCTCCCAGTTCCCTCCCAGTCCCTCCCAGTCCCCTCCCAGTTCCCCCCCAGTCCCTCCCAGTCCCTCCCAGTCCCTCCCAGTCCCCTCCCAGTCCCTCCCAGTCCCTCCCAGTCCCTCCCAGTTCCCTCCCAGTCCCTCCCAGTCCCTCCCAGTTCCCTCCCAGTTCCCTCCCAGTCCCTCCCAGTCCCCTCCCAGTGCTCCCAGTATAAACCAGTGCTCACAGGTGTGCAGCCAGCGGGACATGGGCAGGTTCCAGTTGGTCACCACCTCGGCCATGGAGCGCGGGAGCTCCACCCGCAGGGGCCGGGACACGGCCAGGTCCCTGTGACACAGGGGACACTGAGGGGACACAGGGGACACTGAGGGGACACTGAGGGGACACTGACGGGACACCGGGACACGGCCAGGTCCCTGTGACACAGGGACACTGAGGGGACACTGAGGGGACACTGAGGGGACACAGGGGACACTGAGGGGACACTGAGGGGACACTGAGGGGACACCGGGACACGGCCAGGTCCCTGTGACACAGGGGACACTGAGGGGACACTGAGAGGACACTGGGACACGGCCAGGTCCCTGTGACACAGGGACACTGAGGGGACACTGAGGGGACACTGAGGGGACACTGGGACACGGCCAGGTCCCTGTGACACAGAGGGGACATTGTGGGGACACCAGGACACAGCCAGGTCCCTGGGGACACGGGGACACTGAGGGGACACTGAGGGGACACGGGGACACAGCCAGGTCCCTGTGACACACAGGGGACACAGAGGTGACACACAGGACAGGGTGACACAGAGGGGACAGGGAGACACAAGAGGACACAGTGACACAGGGACAGGGTGACGTGGGGACAGCGTGACACCGGCCAGTGTCACACACAGTCAGTGTCACACACTCAGTGTCACACAGGTCAGTGTCACACAGGTCAGTGTCACACTCTCAGTGTCACACACTGTCAGTGTCACACACTCTGTGTCACACAGGTCAGTGTCACACACACTCAGTGTCACACACGGTCAGTGTCACACACTCAGTGTCACACACTCAGTGTCACACATGGTCAGTGTCACACACGGTCAGTGTCACACACTCAGTGTCACACACTCAGTGTCACACAGGTCAGTGTCACACACTCAGTGTCACACACACTCAGTGTCACACACGGTCAGTGTCACACACTCTGTGTCACACAGGTCAGTGTCACACACACTCAGTGTCACACACGGTCAGTGTCACACACTCAGTGTCACACACTCAGTGTCACACAGGTCAGTGTCACACACGGTCAGTGTCACACACTCAGTGTCACACACTCAGTGTCACACACACTCAGTGTCACACACTCTCAGTGTCACACACTCAGTGTCACACACTGTCAGTGTCACAAAGGTCAGTGTCACACACTCAGTGTCACACACGGTCAGTGTCACACAGTGTCACACACGGTCAGTGTCACACAGTCAGTGTCACACACTCTCAGTGTCACACACTCAGTGTCACACACTCAGTGTCACACACTCAGTGTCACACACTGT